AAAAGGATGTCATGCTGGGTAAGATGGAGGGTCAGAGAAAAAGAGGAAGACCCCCAACGAGATGGATCAGCCAGGTGGCATAATTGATGGCATCGAGTGTGGCAGCGGTAATGAGGTTGGCCCAGGATCGGACATTTTTTCGTTTTGCTGTGCATGGGGTCACTATGAGTCGGTTCCGACTAGATGGCACCCGACAACAACAACAATTTCTTGCTAATTTAGATTTCACTATATTTAATGCCTTATTTGTAATCCTGGTGGGTGCTGTATGATAAGGCACTGAACCGCAAGTTTGGTTCAAGGTTAGCAGCTCAAAACCACCATCTATTCCTCTGAAACCTTATACAGGGTCATTATGAGTCAGAATTGACGCAACAGTACTTAACAACAATGTCTTACTTTTGTATCTTTTTAATATAGTAACTATTGCACATGGGAAGTAGGCAGGGTAAAAATTATAAGAAACACTTATAAAAAGAAGGGCACTCACATTATAGGACCCTTTTCTAAAGATATTTGCTGTTCTAAGGTATTTGAATTTGTTACCTTTTTAGTCTCCACATGAAGTCTATGAGGAAGGTATTATTTTTATTACTACATGTATTTTACAGACTAGGAAACTCAGTGTAATAATAATCAAGAATTAACTAACTTGCCCAAAGTCACACCTTTTAAATGGTAAAGCCTGAATTTCTAATCTGAGCAGTCTTATTTCAGTGCTGGAACAGTCAGACACTGTGTGAATTACTTAGGGAATCATCTACCTACAGAGTATTATGGATGCCCCAACAATATGCTTTCAAGCTCAAAATGCTACTTTTAACTTGTCATGTCTTCTGCATCTCTCCTCACTTCCTTGCCTCCCAAATACACCAAATCAACCTGGTAGACAATTCAGTTCTGAGAACAGTATAACCATTCTCTCTTACATCCGGGCTATTATTATTGTTAAGTGTGGAAGAGTAGGTTCAGACTCATGGTGACCATGGCAGGGTTTCTGAGGCTGACACTCTTTTGTGGAAGTAGAAAGTCTCATCTTTCTCCCACTTAGTGAGCAGCTGGTGGGGTTGAGCTGCCGACCTTGTGGTTCGCAATCTAGTGCTTATCCTAAACAGCCACTGGGATAGAAATCTTTAATTACCTCTGACTTCCCTGTCTCCTTTTCCTCTGCATCTGTCATGAATCTTGGTCATTAAAAGCTTTGTGTTAATTGAGTTGCAAGGCCTATCAATAGGAGGTACTGCGTTTTAACATGTAAACAAACGTGTCTGTTTTGATTCACAAGATCAAAAACAGATCAGGAAATTTGAGAACTGTTAATGTTAGAAGCCAACAAACAATAATGTTCCAGCCACTTCCCCACAAATGAGTTACTATTGTTTAAGGACTCCTGGTGTGGTGCTGTAGGATCAGCACTGACTGTGAAACATGAGGTTAGTAGTTCAAACCCACCAGCTGCTCCTCAGAAGCCCTATACAGCGTCGCTATGAGTCCACTATGACTCCATGGCACTTAATAACAACAGTAACAACATCTTATTTAAAAGAGCCCTGGTAGGGCAGTGGGTTGGTTAGAGTTGCTTTGCTAATCCCCAAATCAGCAGTTCTAATGCACCAGGTGCTTATTGTGAATGATGAGGCTTTCTGCTCCCATAAAGATTTACATGCTCTGAAATCCTGTACAGGGTCACTATGAGTTGGAAGCGACTCCAGTCACCTAACAACTTTTTTACTTACCTGCATAGCATCAAATAAGAAGATACATATTTTGTAAAGGAATCCAATTAAAGTTTAATATTTACATTTGTTGGTGAAACTCTGCTGTTATCTCTGCTACCTTCAGCTCCTCAGGAAAATCTGATTCCTCTACTCCCCTCTTGGGAGCTGAAGGATGCAGACAGCAAAAACAAGGGTGACAGGGGCTAGGTACTGCCCCAAACTTTCCATTCTGTACCCAGTAGGATTGCAAACAGTGTATATTCTCCAAATTATCCTCTAATTATAAATGTAAGCTTATTTCCTTAGAAGGCAGATAGGATGGCAAGGAGGCTCAGTTTATTTCTGTTCCTTACTTTGAGTTCCTATAGATGGTAAGGACCTGCAGTGCAAAGTTTCTTCTAGGCCTGAGGTACCTAGCTCAAGGGTTACGGATTGGATATACCCAGACCAGGACATGCTCAACCCATGTCCCTCTTCCTGCCCCTCTGCCCCACATTTCCAAGTCAATTTTCCTGCAAGAAGAAATTCTGGTAGCTGTCTCTTTTATTCAGTCAAGAGTTGGTTTTGCGCTGGCGGATGAATATTTTCTAAAACAAAGCATGTGTGTGCGCTCCATCGGATGTTCCTGATAGTGTCCTTAACCATACTGGAGAGACTACCACTGTGGAGAACGGAGCAACAGGCTTAAGAAGGCTAGAAGAGTCCCCGACCTGCCTGGCTTCCTAAGCTTGCACCTCAGCTTTGCAAAGAGACACCTTAGTCCCCAGCTGACTGCATGCATGCGAGGCAGTTTAACACTACTTTCTCAAATAAACAACCTTCCTTTGCAATTGATGAATGATTTATCCTGGGACAGTCCAGGGTGGCGCTAATGGGTAAACTCTGGACTATTAGCCTAATAGTAGGCGGTTCGACACCTTCCCCGCACTCTCCCCCACCCCCCGAGATTCCTGGAAAGACAGGCCTGGTGATTGCCTTCAAGGTGACAACTTTGAAAACCCTATGAAGTAGTTCTCATCTGCACACGTCTCCAAGAAGTAGACTCCACTCTAAGTGTCCGACTGTGTCACAGAAAGAATACGAATCCCAGAATGCCTTTCTCTTTATCTTTTCCGCTAGAATCCCGGAAGGTGAAATCGACCAGTCTCTTCATGTTGAGCCTACGGTATCAGCCAATCAGAAGGCGAGTCGGCCCCGGAGCTCGGAGGCGGGAGGCGCTCAGGATTTGAAATCGGAAGGTTGTCGCGGTTACTGGAGTGGCTTCAGAATATCGCCTGTTAATCCGAGCAGCAAAGGTCTTTCGTGAGTAAAGAGGCGAGTCTCGGTCCTGCTCGTGAAGGTGAGGGAGGCTGGTCTCCTCGATCCGCCTGACACGATACGGGTATAGGGGCGTTCTGTGTGCTTTCGGAGGCGGTGGGCGTCTGGCGCTTTGGGGACGGGGCGGGGGGCCCCTGGAGCTTCCGTGATAGGCACCAGCAAGGCCGAGGGATTCCAGGTTTCACTGAACGACTGGTCTGTGGCATTACAGGAGAACTATCGGGACCTGGGGTCTTCAAGGCCTTCGTTTTGTAGGAGGATACCGAGGCCCAGAAGTATCTCTGGTAGCGCAGTGGTTACGAATCGGGCTGCGAACTTCAAGGTCAGCAGTTCGAAACTACCAGCTGTTCCTCGGGAGAAAGATGAGGCTTTCAGCTCTCGTAAAGATTTACAGCCTCGGAAACCCTGTACAGGGTAGGGTCGCTATGAGTCGGAAGCAACTCCACTGCACATAACAACAACAACAACCGAGGCCCAGAGAGTTCAGGTGGTTTGTATAAATAAATACTAGACGCTTCGCACTAATTTCCACACTAGTCTCCATTTTACTGCGCCCTTTTGGACCTGGGGTGTGACCCTTTGGTGGGGATGCCACCTGGGACCTGGGGATCCAGGCTAGAATCAAAAAGCGTCTGTGGAAAGATGCTTTGTTGTTGCTGTTAAGTGTTGTTGAGTAGGTTCCGACCCATAACGACCCTGTCTAGTGTTGCCGAGGAGCAGCTGGTGAGCTGGAACCACTGACCTTTCGGTTCAAACTAACCTTGCAGTCCAGCACATTAGCCCATAGCGCCACATCAGGACTCCGGAAGAGGCTTAGACATCACCAATTTTACTTATGCATAAACTGAGTAAGAATCACCGTAGGAGGCAAGGATTGTTGCTGCACACTAATCATAGTTGAGTCCCAGGCCACTTCATCTACCTAGGAATAGCCAGAGTTATAGCTAAGTTGGTAACCATTTTCCAGAAAATGTCAAACTGTCAAATTGATTGGAATATGTAGTTAATTTGATTTCAGTAGCTCTTTAAAAATACATTGTGTGTTCTATTTGTTTTACAGCAGTATCTTACAAAATGATAGAGGATGAACTGGTACAATTTGATAAAAGCATAAATGAATTTTGGAATAAATTCTTCAACACTGCCAGTGATACCTCCTGTCAGATGGTGGCACTAAGAGATGCCTACAAGGACTCCATTAAAGCATTTGCAGGTACGGAAGGCAAACTTCTGTAGCATGCTGCTTTGCTTTGCTTTTCATTGATCTCTCAGCTGAATTGAAACTTCACTTTCCATTTCTCTTTCAGAAAAATTATCTTTGAAGTTAAAGGAAGAAGATCGAATGGTTGAGATGTTTCTGGAATATAAAAACCGTATGTAGCTAGGCATATTTCTTTGATTAAAAAAAAAAAAATTATCATAAAATCCCTCACTGAAGCAAAATAATGTACAATGCATATATATATTAGGGGGTTTCAAAAAGTTTGTGGAAAAAATAATCCCATTATCTTTCAGTTCCATTTTTCTACTACCTTTCTGAAATATATATTTATAAAGTGCTATTAAGTCAGTTCTGCCTTACATATATAAAATGTACATATGTATATGTGTGGAGTCCTGGTATGGTGCTGCGGGCTAATACGTCAGATGGTAAAGTCAGTTTGAACTGCAAGGTCAATGTTTCAAGCTCACCAGCTGCTCCTCAGGAACCCTATACAGGGTTGCTATGGGTCGGAACTGACTCCATGGCACTTCACAACAACAATGTATATGTGTATGGGTATGCATAATATAATAGGAGCATACACGCAAACAATTGTTCTTGTTAAGTGCCCTTTAGTTGATTCTGACTTACAGTGACCCTGGATAGGTTTCTGAGGAGTGGCTGGTGGGTTTGAACTACCGACCTGTGGTTAGCAGTCCATTGCTTATCCTACAGTCCATTGCTTATCCTACCACACCAACCCAGGACTTCACACACATATTTGAGCCCACAGTTGCTTTGTTGCCACCCAACAGCTCCCAGATCCAGAGTAGATCAGCCCATAGCATTTTTAAAGCTGTAAATCTTTTTGGAAGCAGACTGCCACATCTTTCTCTAGTGGGCTGGCTGGCTGGTGGGTTTCAATCATCAACCTTTTAGTTAACAACCGAGCGCTTTAACCACTGTGCCACCAGGGCTCCTTCCTAACAATAACCTATAACCTCCCTCTTCTCCCACCGTCCAGTCAGTACTTTGTTTAGAATTGGGTTCTTGAATGTTACATGAAATGGCACCATACCCTAAACATCCACATTTATTACTCAGCTCAAGTGCTGTACTGACGTGTAGATGCAAATTTGTTTTCTCTTTTGAAATCACAGACTGGAAATTGAAAGTTGGAGCTCTGTTAGTTCCTTAGGGTAGAGTTAGTACAACTAAATCCTTCAATTCTAAAACTCATAAATACATTATAAACTGCTCCCGCCTCTTGTCCCCTTGGCTGGGCCAGCTCTGCTTCTTTCACCTCAGTGCACTGTCTGATAGCTCTTGGACTTTTTTTTAGTCCCTTCCTGCCCTCTCTACCTTGATTATTTCTATTGAGACTGCTGTCTCTGGGATCAGCAACTGATTTTGGCCTCAAAGCAATGATTCCTACATAGTAGCAGCTGTCTGTATCTGATTTTCATTCAGCAGCAAGGGTGGTCCTGCCATCTCCTCCCTTTCCCAGCTGAGAGTTATGCTCCCTAGCTGGTTCCTTCAGCCAGGCTTACCTCATACAGGCATTGTTTTTGTTTTGAATGTATGCTCAGGGCAGTTTCAGAAAGTGAATGGTTCAGAGGGCTTGAAGGGCTTATGGAGATGGTGACAGATCTTGGGGCGGCAGGGAAGGTGGAAGGGTTAGAGGCAAGAAGGGCAAATAAGGTACAGGTATCCTGCACTAAGTTTTCTTGACACCACTTTGCTTTTACAAAAGACCTACATTTATTAGTCGAAAGAAATCTGAAGAGAATTTTTGCTTTTATGAAAAAATGCAAAAAGCAAAACTAGCAATCTTTTGTTTTGCAGTGAGCTTTTGAATCAGTGGTTATTGTGAATTGCCGTTGAGTCGGTTCCGACCCATAGTGACTCTGTATAGGGTTTCCGAGGAGTAGCTGGTGAGCTTGAACTACCGATCTTGCAGTTCAAACAGCTTTGCAGTCTGGCGCATTAACCCACAGCACCACACCAGGACTCCAAATCAGAGGGGGGAACCTTTTTTCAGCCAAGGGCCATTTGTATATTTATAACATCATTCGTGAGCCATACAGTATTATCAGCTTAAAAAATAATCATGCTATATTTGATCAGACATTTAATTAGCTCACCCCTAATGTGATGGCAAGGAGCTCTGGTAGCGTAGTGGTTATGAATCGGGCTGCAGGCCACAAGGTCAGCAGTTCGAAACTACCAGCGGTTCCGCTGGAGAAAGAGGAGCCTTTCTGCTCCCGTAAAGATTTACAGCCTCGGAAACCCTGTACAGGTCGCTATGAGTTGGAACCGACTCCACGGCACATAACAACAACAACAATGTGATGGCTGGAACTATGGTTGCCTTGGCAGAGCCAGACCAAATGACTTATACGGCCCACTGGATGTTCCCCACCCCTGTTTCAAAGAGACAGCGCTTACCTAGAACAGAGAGAGTAGCTTCCCAAGGTCTTTCTAGGGAACTACACTCTGGTAGCATCATGGTTATGAATTGGGCTGCGAACTTCAAGGTCGGCAGTTTGAAACTACCAGTGGTTCTGCGGGAGAAAGATGAGGCAGTCTGCTCCCGTAAAGATTTACAGCCTCGGAAACCATGTACAGGGTCACTATGGGTTGGAATCGACTTGACAGATCATAACAACAACACTCAGCAGCCAGCTGGTGTAGCTTAAACAGTGTCTGAACACTTTATACTGATGTGATTTTAGGGTTTATGTGCTATTTGGTATAATTAGGTTACTTTTTAGGTCTGGGAACACTCAATTTTTTTTTCCTCATAAATTAATGGTAATTGCTTCTTTATGTCATTTTGGCCTACAAAATGTTTATTAGGAATGTTCTGCTTTTGGATTGCGGGAGGGGAACCTGTGCTGATCAATACTTAGAGATAGTTACCAAAAGTGCCAGTATGTTAATACTTACAAGTATTATGGGATGGCAGAAATCAATACTGTAGTCACTAATATTCATGAGTTCTGGTGTGGCGCTGGAGGATAAGCACTTGACTGGTAACCACAAGATCAGCAGTTCATACCCACCCTCACTCTTAAAAACCCTATACAGGGTGGCTATGAGTTGATGGCATACAATAACAGTAGAATGCCCATAATTTTGACCTTTGTACATACCGGTATTATATATTGATGCTGTTTATGAAAGCTATCTGATTATATGTTTTTCAGTGTTTAGTTCTGCACAGTCTTACCAATTGTCAGATTTTTCTGAGTAGATAGATATCTGTAGACTACATATAATGAAAATTGTCTTTTCTTTCCAATGATTTTGCTGGGTAAGTCTCCTGGCTGGTCAGAAACTTATAGGGAAATATTGCATAACTATAATAGCAGGTACCCTTATTTTATTTCTCTTGCAAATGCCTCTTAGTGAACCTCTTTGAGTATATTTGTTGTTGTTGAGTGCCATCGAGTCGGTTCTGACTCATAGCAACCCTGTATAGGGTTTCTGAGGCTATAAATCTTCAAGGGAGCTTGGGAAGCCTCATCTTTCTCCCGCGGAGCTGCTGGTGGGCTTGAACCACGGACCTTGTGGTTTGCAGTCCAGTGTTTATCATTTGGAGTCTTTGCACTCCCCTTGAGTATATTGTTGTTGTTGTTATGTGCTGTGGAGTCGATTCTGACTCATAGCGACCCTGTATTAGGAGGGATAAAAGAATTTTGTTTTGTTTCTGTTATGCTAAAGGAATATCCTTCTTTTTCTTGTTTAGCAGTGGTATCAGAAGTAGGAGCTCAGTTTATATAAAATACCTGCTTGACACCTGTTCATGTGGTGGGGTTCCCTAATAGTCCTCCTTCACTTTATGTCCTTAGAATAGACCATATTTGCTCCTAGTGGATTATTTCAAATATAATTCATTATTATTTTACTAAGAAGCTCTACCCCCTATTTCTGTTAGTAAGATTCATTTATATGAGGGAGGGGCAGCACTATCTTTATTGAGTTTTACTTTCAGAATCATGCTGCCTTTATAAAACAGTTCTTTCTGACTTCCTTCTCCCATCCTTTTTCTTCCTCCCTTTCTTCTTCCTTCTTTTTGGTATATTCTAGAATAATTTGTATAGCATTAGAATTAGCTGTTTCTTCATAGCACTGTGTAAAGCCATCTTCTAGAATTCAGGTTTCTTTGGTGGTGGGTTTTATTTTAGTATTTATTTGGAGATGGGAATTGGTTGGGGTCATTGAACTTCTGGTCATTTACCTCTTGTTTAATTTGGTATCCCCATTTTAGGAAGTACTTCTGTCTCCTCATTTTTGTTTTCAAAGACAAATAAGAGAGAGTAGATTAGGATTTTTTTCCCTCTTGTACCATTTTTGGATCACTAGTCCTGGTGTGGCGCTGTGGGTTAGGCACCAGGCTGCAAAGCCGTTTGAACTGCAAGGTCAGCAGTTCAAGCTCACCAGCTGCTCCTCGGAAACCCTATACAGGGTGGTTATGGGTCGGAACCGACTCGACGGCACTTCACAGCACAACAACAACAAGAAGCAAATACTTAACAATCAAGATTTTCTCCACTAAACCTAAGGTCAATAATTGTTGGTCTTTTCTTATAGATACATGATGGAGAGCAAAGCATATATGTTCCAGCTGATACCTTGTGCTTCTTACAGAAATCTGCAGACAGAATAAGCTGATTCAAGAAAAAAAGGAGAGCTTGTCAAAGTTGCTGGCTGAAGTTAAATGCAAAAAACAGGAAATACAAGTACTGACTGCCAATATCCAGGATCTTAAGGAAGAATATGCTAAGAAGAAAGAAGGTGAGTTTTCATTTCAACTCATATCAATCTTAATTTCGAAGTGGTGCTGTTTGTAATTATTACGAACATCTTACCTGCTCTTCAATTTATCATGAAATCTGGATAAAATATCTCAGAGTCCTAGCCAACCACTCATTCTGCCTCTGAAGTTAGCCAACGGAGTGGTTTTGTTTTATTTAAAGAGCCTCTTACTTGGAAACATCATACAAACAGTTCAATAATTAAACCGATATAGGGATTTATTGGAGTCTTGGTGTGGCGCTATAAAATAAGCACTGGACTGCCCATCACAAGGTCAGCAGTTCAAACTCACCAGCCACTCTTCAAAAACCTTATTGAGGGTCACTATGAGTTGGAACTGATTCAATGACACTCAAAAACAGCAGGGGTTTAATTAATTGAAGTGAGAGACGGTTTCAGTAAATAAGATTTCTCTGTTGTGGTACTGCAGGACCAGCAGTGGACTGCTAACTGAAAGGTCAGTGGTTCAAACCCACCAGCTACTCTGTGGGAACCCAATACAGGGTCGCTGTGAGTCGGAACCAACTTGACAGCACGTAACAACAAGGTCAAACTATGGTGTAATTTATGTAACAAATAAATTTTGACTACATGTTTTCTGCCAAGCAATATTAAATTCTCTTACTATGCTTCAGAGGCTTTCATATTCATAAAATGAATGTTTCCTTTAGAAAGAAGCCTTGCTTGCCAACAAAGCAATCAATTCTGAAATCTCTTACAAGTAGTATGTTTTGTTAGTCCTGTTTCTTAAAGAGTTTTTATCCAAAGCTATGCTGTCAAATTATTTTTCTCATCTGATATGTATTACTTAGGGAATATTGTGCTAACTTTTAAAACATTCTAAAATATTATGAAATAAGGCTGACTTAAAAGAAATAGCATATGATCTGAGAGTAAATAGACAAAGGCTCACAAAACAGGCTAAATGCTTTAGAGAAAGAAAGACCGCTTAAGGGAAATAAGACCCAATATATCCAGACTACACTCCCAGCTAAGGTTACTCAAGGTATAAGTAGATTTGTGTTATCTTTCAGTAACCCAGAAATTAATTGGAACTTAATCCAACAGCATTTTAGGAGGTTGTGGAACAATATACACTTGTCTGGGGATATTCATCAGCTACACGCTCAATTTTATGATATAAGTAATTCTCAAAGTGAACACTGCGTGGCTACCCATTTGCTACCCATGCTAGAGAATAAGATCCCCTAGGAACTGGATTGAACCTCAGCATAGTGATCCTGCTTGGTCACCTTAGAGCAGGTGGTGGGCCGGCAACGTCGGGCGCATGGGGTCCCCAGCTGATCTCCTCCCTCCCTGCCTTCCTCGGATGGTGGCTGTTTATGCTGGACGTGTGGCCAGAGATGGGTAAGGATCACGTGGAACCTCGGCTACTTGGGACAGAGACATTGCCATGCTGCAATGAGTCTCAATGACTTGTAAGACTGAGGAATTCGCACTGACCACCTAAGACAGGCAGCGTCCCTTAAACAATCAATAAAAAAGGAGGACTCAGATGCAGACAGCACAGACCTGGTCAGGAGGCCAAGCCCCTGTGGGCCCAAGCGTTGTTGACCGTCCAAACCATAGGCTCTGAGGATCAGACTCTAGCTACCTAGTAGACATAACAAACTGTCCCTCATCTGATTATTCAGTAATGCTTGTTAGTAATCTCATACGTGAGCCCTGGATGTCCACAGACAAATGTAAAAACCTCCCCTAAAAGCTAAGACTGTAAATTCCAATAAGCCAAGTCCCCCCCCCCATCCAAAAAAAAAAAAAAGCTAAAGAGGATAGAGAGAAACACTGTATGTAAACTGATGATATATAGCGGGGATAATAATCAATGTAATGAAACAAGCTATATGAATGGTTGAATGTGAAGCTGATGATGTGCCCTGTAAACTTTCACTCAATGCAAAATAAAAACATTTAATTAAAAATAAAAAAAAGGTATGTTTAAAAGAATATTTTTCCAGTGAAACCAATGGTATTGCCTTTATTAATCAGAAAAAGCAAATTGCATAAAAGGAAGTCTGGCTCCACTATTTGTATGTTAGTTGTGTAAATCCCTGGCTTACTTACTCATAGAATTGCATAATATAATTAAAACCCCAACTATCTGTGCATATTTTCTTAGTCAATTTTTCATTCTAACGTGAATGAACATTTTTTTTGCTAATTGTAGAAAGTGAATACACTTAAGTAAATTATTATTAATTAAATGAACATCAATTGAATATTATTTAAAATATTTGATAGTGTGTTTTCTTTTTCAAAATCAGCTATATCTACTACTAACAAAGCTATAGAAGAGAGACTGAAAAGACTGCAGAAATCTGCAGACATATATAAAAACCGACTTGGACTAGAAATTCGAAAAATTTATGGTAAGTATATTCATATAAATAAATGAGATTAGAGGGGCATATCTTAATGAAAGAAGAATTAAAAAAAGAAAATTTGATAGTTTTAACTTAGTTACAGATGATTTGGCTATCTATTATCCAGAAGCTTAAGAGGAGCATTTTTGGCATGGTGTTGCTAGACAAATACTGTTTGTTTCTTGTTCTTACTTGGTACTGTATCATTTGCATTTCCATAATTGCTGCTGCCTTCATAATGACATGTTTTAAATGATGGTGTAATAATTCATTCTATTAATGGAACATAATTTATTCCATCTTTAATCTTTTGTTTGCCACATGCATTGCTTATAACTTTACATTTGAATTCTGCCAGTGTTCAGTTTTAGAAATACCACAGGACACGTAGATGTCCTATGTGTTTTCTATTATTTTTACAGAATTACTGTTAAAAAATATGAATATTTTATGATTCTTACATATATGTGTATCAATTTACAGTAATGCCTCTGTGCAAAGGGTTTTCAAGACCACCCCAAGGTTTGATTATTCCCATAGAAGGGCTTATGGGACTCATCAGATAGTTGTATTCACAGATAAGATTCATTGCAACAGAAGGATACAAAAGAAATCAGCAAAGAGATAAGGCACATGGGTAAAAATCTAGATAATTTTAGGTCCAAACTTCCGGTGCAGTCACACACCTCAAACCACACCCACTCCCATTGAGTTGATTCAGACTTATAGCTCCCTGCAGGACAGAGACCTAGTCCTTAAAGTTTCCAAGATTAAATCTTTACAGGAGCAGATAGCCTCATCTTTCTCCTGAGGAGCAACTGATGGGCTTGAACCACCAACCTTGAGGTTAGCAGCCCAGTGCTTTACCCACTGTGCCATTGGGTCTCCATGGAGTTACACAAGATACCCTTACTTCCAGAGCCTGGATTCTGATGGCACATGTGAAGTGCTTGTCTTCTAGGAAAGCTCATTCGAGACTCAGTGCTCCAGGTTTTTATTGTGGGCTGGTTATGTAGGCACACTGCCTACCAGTTACCCAAGTTACAAGCTACATTGTGTATACAGTTCAGACACAAGAAACTACCCTTCTCAGATAGGGAATGGTGGGAATACTCCTGACATCCAAGTTCCTTGATATCAGCTGTGCAGAAACGAGTTGACATAGCAGGTCTGATTACTTGGCCTTTGAAGGACTGTTGATAATGTTGGCCGTAGGTTGGTGCCTGGAAATTTGGGTTTTGTGAGGGTTCTCATCTCCTAACTGGTAAGAGGGAGTCCTGGTATGGTGTTGTAGGATAAACAGTGGACTGCTAACCACTGCATAGTTGGTTCAAACCTACCTGCTACTCCTCGGAAACCCTGTATAGAGTCACTACAAGTTGAAACTGATTCCATGGCACTTAACAACAATAACAACAACTGGTCAGAGTAGCTCACTGTCTTAAACTGTTTCTGCAAGCAGTATATTTATGCCAAATACTAGCTTTCATCCCTGGAGTCTAGAGTTCGGGTATGTGTCAGGCAAAGGCTGTATATATGATCACACCGCAATAAAACCCTGGGCTCTGAGTCCATAACAAGCTTTTATTGTTGCCAACATCACAACTGTATAGTGGGAGGGGATTCTCAAAGCTGTGCCTGGTTCCCTTTGGATTTCACACCGCACAACTTTCTCCTTTGCTGATTTTGCTTTGTATCCTTTGCCTTAGTGAATTGTATCCATAAATGCAACTATTTGCCCAACCCTAGGAAACCCTATACAGGGTCACTATGGTTCAGAACTGACCCAACAGCATTTAACAACAACAACAGCAGTGTGAACCCTCCTTGAGAACCCTTAGACTTGTGGGTCCTCTTGGTGATCCCAGCACATCAGTCAAGGGCCAACCTTGCAGGCAAGCATGCAGGCTTTTCTAAGGTTTTCAGGCTAGTAGCAGTCTCAGACCTGCTGTGTTAGCTCTTCCACACACCTGTTTACAATGCATGAAAGTACCTGATTTATTGTATTCTTGCCAGATTGTGTTGTCTGTTTTATTTTTGTGGTTTTTTCCAGTTGTCTGTGCATAACTGGAACTTTGGAAAACCCTATTGATTTTGCATTTCTTTGATTGCTAATGTAAAAGATGACTGTTTTTCCTTAGTTGATTGCTAATTATATTTCTTTGCCTGCTTGAATCCCTTATTTACATATCTATTGTCTTAGTGTTATTCCTATTACTTGGAATAAACTTTTAGTAGAAAATACGAATCCTTGATTGTTGTTGTTGTTGTTGTTATGTGCTGTGGAGTCGGTTCTGACTCATAGCGACCCTGCATAGGGTTTCCGAGGCTGTAAATCTTTATGGAGCAGAAAGCCTCATCTTTCTCCCGTGGAACAGCTGGTAGTTTTGAACTGCTGACTGTGAGATTAGCAGCTCGATTCATAACCGCTACGCTACCAGAGCTCCTGCAATCCTTGATTAGAGGAGGATGTAAGATCTACTGTTCGATTTGTTGGATTGATTATGTATATTTGTGGTCATGCTAAGGTGCTTTTTGTTAGGTTTAGTTTTGCTGTTCAACAGTCAGTTTTAATACATTAGAATGACTTTTCATTTAAAAATATCACTTTGTCATAGCCATCAAACTCAGGAAATAATGTTTTGAGTAAGAGAAAAGCCAAAAGCGACCCTTCCTTTTGCCTAAGTGCCTATCTTAGGAAATCTTCTTTTCTTGACACTCACTCCTTCCCCCACTACTAACAGTTTTAAAACGAAATTCTGTATGCTGACATAATTCAATTTGACATTGCATATTGAGATAAATAAAATAATCTCTCTTTTCTTTAAGGTGATAAATTGCAGTTTATATTCACCAATATTGACCCTAAGCATCCTGACAGCCCGTTTATGTTTTCTCTGCACTTGAATGAAGCAGGGGACTATGAAGGTATCTTTCATAACTCTTAACTGGCATTGACTATTGGCATCCCAAAATGGTGTTTGAATGAGGAGATGAAGGAATACGAAGAAGAGTCATCTTCACACAAGCGGTGGTTTCCATTCCCAGTCTGTCTTCTAAAGGCTATGACTATAGTTTCTCTTCGGGATGGCACAGGGCCCCAATGTCAGAAAAGTGTGAGAAGACCAAAGATCACAGCATTGTATATGGAATTATGAATTTTCCTTATAGAGAACCTAAAAAAGTAAAGTTAAAAAGAATATGACTGCCTATTATGAATATTAAATGTATCCAAGTAGGCAAATTTTAAAATTGTTAGTGTAATTATGATCGTTTCTTTTCCCCAGAAAAAATGTTACAGAAATCATCCCATCCTGAAAAACCATAAACCTTGATAAGTAACTTAGTTATAGATTCTGCAGCATGCTGAAAGACCTTTGCTTTCTGGCGAATATATGATTGGTGATAGTATGAGTAAGAAGAGCATGGAAGTATGTTTACCTTTTGTTTACGTTTTCCACAGTCCCTAAAGGAGTCCCTGGGTGGTACAAATGGTAAGCATTCCACTACTAGCTGAAAGATGGGTGCTTTGGGGACGGACCTGGTGATCTACCTTGAAAACTCTGCGAGGCAGTTCTGCTCTGTACACGTGGGTCACTAGGAGTTGGAACTGACTCCACGGCAGCTCACAGCAATTGCCCTTGTGGTTCTCAGCTCCCGGTACCCAGGTGATCATCAAAAAGTATTTAATTGCAGCAAACACTGTGTGAGCTGCTGTGAGCTGGAGGCTCAGTTCCTATTCTTGTGGAATTCGTGTGAGTTCTAATTTACTTACACGTTTCTCTTTTTTTTTTTTTTTTTCTGTATGTAAATGTCTACCAAGCTAATGAATGCTAGATTTTGAAAAGCAAATCCCAGATTCTCTTTACCTAGCTTTTCAGTTTTTTAAAAAAATTATTGTTGGTAAGTTCTCTCAAGTCGATTCCAAGGCATAACAATCCTGTACATGGTTTCCGAGGCTGTAAATCGTTGGAGCAGAAAGCCTCATCTTTCTCCTGCAGAGTAACTGGTGGGCTCAAACCAGCAACCTTGTGGTTTGCAGTCCAGTGTTTATCCTACAGAACCATTGTGCTTTTTTAAAAAAATTGGATCCTGTATTGCTATGTGTTTAATAGTATATATAGTATCTCCAGTGTACATTTTGAGACAAATGCTCTTTGCTAGTCTTGGCTATCATCATGGGCCTGGTTTCCTAAACAGTCTTTACCAATGAGATGGAAATCTGTTACGATGTCGTCTTTCTCCTCAGCCAAAGGGGGTAAGATTGATGGCAGCACAGACTGCTGGTTCTTTTTTTTTTCTGAACATCTGCACTTGGGACTTTCTCCCAGTATGCCCAACTGTGTATGAGGCCATCCTTTTGTTTGTGACTGTGAGTCCCATTTGATTGGTGGTGGTGGTGTTAAATGCCTCCGAGTCAGTTCCTACTCCTAGCTACCCTGTATAGGGTTTTTAAGGAGCAGCTAGTGAGTTTGAACCTCCAACCTTTCGTTTAGCAGTAAAGTGCTTACCCTACAGCACCACACTGGGACTCCATCTGATTAGTTGTTATTGTTAATTGTTGTTGAGTCAGTTCCAACTCATAGCAACCCTGTGTAGGGTTTCTGAGGAGCAGCTGGGGAGATTGAACCACCAACCT